TGGTACAATTTTGGTTTTATCTGCTCGTGCTGATGGTTTGTAATTGGACTTCATTAGCCAGCTTGTTTTCTTACACTGCCTTCAGTTTCAGTTTCTTGCTCAGGGGGAAGAAAGCCACAGTGACATGTAGTGGCTGATATATAAAAAACCCTCACCACAGATATTTCGGCCATAGCCTCTCACTCCTGCCCTGCAGCCTCTGGCCAGCTCACACCTGAGCTCCCGTCACAGCTCTGCTGCTGCCTCCACGTCCCCAGGTGCTGCAGCATCCTAGTCCAGGACTGCGACGTGGGCTTTAGGGTTGTTTCAGTTGTAGTTCACCTGTTGCCTGTACGTCCCAGGGAAGAGGAGGCAGAAACTCAGACATAGTAAGAAGGTCAGTTGCTTACAGAAACAATATATTTACAGCATTGTTTGTGAGTCACATGCACAGGCTTCATTACTGATGTGGACCAACATTAGAATAGAACAATATAAACAGATAGCACAAGAAAAGGGCAAATGCACACATATATTGCTCCTCTCTTTGCTAGAAAGTCTGGTTGCCCAGGCAACATCAATCAGGAAAAAAAAAGTAGGCTCCTGGCTCATGCTGGGCAGGAGTCTCTTCCCAATCAGAGCAAAAGAAGGCAAGGCTTGTAGTGCTATAGAAAGTGGGACTAATAAACTTAGATTACTTTCTGGGGGCTGCCACATCTCTTCCCCTTAGCAGGCCATTGTTAGTAATTTAAAACTTTTGACATCAGTGATTTGATTAATTAGGGTTAATTAGGGAAGTTTTTAGAGACATTAACTCCAACCTGATCTCATCATGGCAGATGATCGCTTCAGACCTGTGCCTGTGCTCTCTTAGTTAGGTAATTCTGCAATTTCCTCCTGCAGCTCTCTGTTCATCTTTCCCATCTATTCTCCTGTTGTCCGTTTTCCTCTGATACTTTGCTGCTATTTTTTCCTTCCTTTTCTCTCCTGTTCCTCTGCCTTGCCCTTCTAATCTGTTTTAGTGCTTCCTGTCTTCGCCTCATTATTTTCTTATCGGTTTTGCTTTCTGTCTCTCCATTGGTTCTCTTCTCACTCTCTTAACCTCCTGTCTGTGGGCCAGCCTACTCCCCAGCCATCATCTTGTTCCTCTCTTTTATCTTCTCTCCTTTTCCCCCACTCCTTCTTAGCTTCTCTCAACAATAAAAATTACTCATTGCTTGTGGGGGAAGCATCTGGCCCCTGCTGGCTCTCATTCTCTCTCCTTTGTTCTGAATGCTCTTTTGTTATAAACACAACAAACAGAAAAGCACAAAATAATCTCTCAAGGCAAACACTACATAATAATCCTCCTGGTCCCTGCTGCTCTTATCTCTGAAGAATTTGTTCTTCACGCGAAATAATAAGAAACATGAGAAAGGATTTGCTAAACTTGGAGGGGAAAAAGAGAGCCTGGAATAAAGCTAGTGTAAGGTGAAATGCAGCTTGCTAGCAGCTTGGACAGCAGACTGGTGGTTGATCAATCCCTGTTGATCAGTCTCTGTTCCCATTAGATTGTGGAGGCATGGATGGGATCAAAAAATATTTATTTATTTTTTTTAGCACCGAATTTCTTCTGCTTTCTCCTCATTTGTCCCTTGAGCCAAGGTTTTTTTGTATATTAAATGTGTTTGCCAGAGAACTGTACCTGTCGGAGCTCCACTAACACTCACAAAAAGCCGCAGCAAGGTGCTTCTGTGGGGTCACTTGCTAGCTCAAGTCTCTGAGAGATAAATGAAGATAAGAACAGGCTTGCCTATTGTTAGGCTCTTGCTTAATGCTAGATAGGCATTCTGTGATTAAATCCTCAGAAAATGTTTGCACTGGAAAGGAAACGTTACTTGGCATGCACTAGTTTAGACATGCAGGTGTTCTCAAAGCTGAAAAGGAGAAAGCTTTTTAAGGGAAAGATGAGCCTTTCCCAATCCCCAGAGCTCCGTGGTTAGGATACTGGTGTTTCATGCGGGGCAGCCAGCACTAAGTGCTACCTGGGACCAGTTCTGCCTCACCATTCCCTTAGAAATCTTATGTCTGACCAGCCACTGCCAGCCTGCAATGGGCCTCCATCCTAGTGCAGTGAATGCACTTTGCATAATACACAAGTATTATATTAATAAAAGGAGAAGTAGATAGTTTTACTTGCAGTATCAGAAAGTTCTGCTAAGGACGCCTTAAGGTACTTCCCCCAACAGCTGACCTGTGATTATCTGTGGTGTGGGAGGCAGGGGCATGTCCTAGGGCAGAAACAAAACTGATACTTAGGAAGAACAGGCTGTGATGCAAACTTAAATTCTAAATCTTTGAACATCAGCAGGTTAATTCAAACTGGGACAAAACTCCCTGAAATGGGAGGCTGGGGTATTTTCCCAACATTCCTTAGGAAGATTTGGGTTCTAGTGATGCATTTTGAGCCTGTGTCTCTTTTTTACTGCTGTTTACTCTGCTGCCTCTGTAAAGATAAAGAAGCGCCACCAGCTGTGTTCTGCATCACGTGTTAGAGATTTAATTTTCAGCTAAACTCGTATTGTTTCTAAGTTGGACTGGTAGCTACGTATGTGTTTAATCTAATCTTCAAGTTTGAATTGCTCAGCACTTGCAACAGGGTCATGTGGGTCAAGAATAAACTAGACATGAGGCTCTGTCAGAAGAATGTACAGTCCAAAGACTGCCTCTGAAGTCTGGGTATACTTAGAACCTCCCCAAATATGGCAACTTCCCACACTAACCAGTAGATTCTTATTTCCAGAGCTAATGGCAGGCAGCGTTTGAGAGAGCTGGGAGACTGGATTCGAGGTGGAGTTTGCTGTGCTTGCAAATAAATGGAAAATAAGCTAGGAAAAAAGAAAAGTGTGTTAGGAAATCAGGGCCGGATCCAACAGCCTGGCAGAGGGAATGCTGCCACAGCTCCTTGTTCCCAGGTGCAACTGTAGCAAGGCTGAGCATGTATTCCCTGTGGGCACACGCATGAAAGCACACATATGCACTAGGCATATACCTGGTTGCCACACAGATGTACAGACACACAGAGCACTTACACAAATGGCATGAATGTCCTCATCCTGTTTCCCTCCTAGACTGAGCAGGATGGAGGTCCTATACAGGGAAATATACATGTGTGTGTATATATATATATATATATACACACACATATATACATGTGAATAAGGTGAATCCTTCCAGGAGCTGGGCTAAGACACTCAGTCTGCCCCCAGATCCCAGTTTTCCCAGTTGCTGGTACCTAGGCATATGAGACCTCGAGGTTGCAGTCCCACTCCTGTTGCTGTACAGATGCACACACACACAAGGGCATGCACAGCTGGCTAGGACTCCCCTGGTCCCTCCAGTAGCCAACCTGCCATGGCCTCCCTCTTAGACACACACACACCAGTGGGGCTTACCTCTATGGACCCCTAGAGCCCACAAATAGAGAGTGCATCACCCAGGAAGAGGTAGACTTTAACAGGCAAACTGTACTAAAAAAGTGTGGCGCAAGGCTGCACCCATGTGCTGGCCAGCCAACAGTTTACATGCAACTGTTCCTATTTTTCCCCTCTCCCCTTTGATGCCCCCCCCCCCCCCGATATCCCATAGTAAATCCCGTGCAATCCCAAAATGTTCCTCCCCTTCATCCTGCCATGTGTCCAGTGCTCCCTTATGCCGCACCCTGTTTTTCCTCCAGTCTGAAGGTGCTCCATCCTTTGACTCTTAGTGATGGGCTTCACACCTGGACAATGGAGCTGATGGCTCTCCCTGGGGGAGTCCTGGGAGGGGCGGGCTGAGGCAGGGGGTCCCTTCCTCTCAGTCCTTAATTTGGATTGCCATCTGGCATTGTGGCCCCCATTCTCCTCCGGGCGTGTGAAAATGAGCCTTTGATGTGCTGATGGCTCTTGCGATAGGCCCGGGAGTAGCTGGGGCAGGGTGTTATTTGGGGTCCTCCTCCTGCCATTGTTTCCCTGTGCTCCTTTGAGGGTGTGCAAACGAGCTTTTGTCACGTAGCCTAAAGAAGGGGACTATGCAGGCTTCCCTTGCCCCTCTATACAACTGTATTTTTTTCTGTTGGAATATTTTAACAACAATATATAAATACAGCGAAGGTAGTGAGGGAAAGCGCCAACCCCTTTTGACCAGGCAAAATAAACAGCAAGATTTAAATGAAAACGTGGTCGCTCCTAGTGACTGAAGTGATGGCAAAAGTCACCTTCAGAAAAAGGCATAAGATACCTGTCTCCCCCCACTCTTGCCCACAGCCCGGCTCTGAGCTGTTGCCATTTTCTGAGGCCAAAACACTTGGCAGTGAAGACTCTTCGTTGTCTCACAGAGATTTTTGCCTGAGATTCAAAGCACTTCGGTACTCTCCTGTGAGGTTTGCAAGCGTTTGACTTGAAGGACGGGCACCAAATGAACGTGGGGAGCAAACGAATGTGCGCAGCACACACAGTTTGATTGGAAGGGCTCAAGTTTGGGACTAAATGGAGCTGTGGGATCACAAGTTCAGCTTTGACCCTGTTGATTTTAGCTTTGTAGGACGAAAATAGATATTTATACATATATACATATGCATATATAAAATCCCCCAAACCCAGTTCTCCATGACCGTGCGTCATTCCCATCTGCAGGAGCTGGGATGAGCATCCTCAGAGCACAGCATTTGGCTCCCTCCGTCCGTGCCGTTTGCGCGGCTCTCGCTGCGCCGTCGCTGCCGGCCCTGCTCTTCCAGCTGCGGGTCGGTAGCAGCTCTGGTCCCGCCACGCACAGCCCCCGCACCCTGCCCCTCGCTGACACGCATGGGGCACCGTAGAGCGGTAACCGCTTCCCCCCACGCGCTGGGTCCTGCCTCCCGCCGCCCCCCCGCCGCTGCCCACCATGGCAGCTGGGCTGCTCAGCACGCACGACTGTTGCGGGTCAGGACGCGGTGCGAGCGCAGCGGGTGCCGGGGAGTTGCTGGGAGGTGCCCGGGTGGGCTCCTGCGTGCGCTGTTTCCCAGGTGCTCCGGGGGTGCCGGAGCTCCGCCCCCCGCCCCTCCCACCACCCCTCGCCCAACGGAGGCCTTAAATCCGCGGGTGCCGGTAGGGGAGAGCCGTGGGCTCGGAGCGTGGGCGCGGCCGGCTCCTCGCACGGTCCGTTAGGTGGAGCAGCGGCAGCCGCTCAGCAGTCCGTTGCCGGCGATGGATGCTAAAAAGGTACGTGAGGAAGGGAGCGCGGAGCTGTGCTGCTTTCTTCTCTTCCCGCAGCCGCCGCTCGGCTCCTCTTCCGCGGAGGGACGGGGAGGGAGCGATTCTGTCGCGACTGGTAAGGGTGCATCGCTGCTGCCGGGTGTCTGTCGGCCGTAGTGAAGATGGATGCCGGTGGTGGCAGGGTGCTACGGCGGCTCTGGAGAGGGTGGATGGGAAAAGCCCCGTCCGCAGGAAGGGGCTGGGGGGGTGCCCTGCTCGGGAGGGGCTGTGTGCGGGTCGCAGGATGGATGTGTTTTCGTGCGTGTGGCCTGATAATCCCCATGATGCCGGCATCCGTAGCGACTGATCACGAGGCTTACTCTGTTGGCAGGGCAGCGCTCGTTCGTCCCGGCGTTCATGATGCTAAAAGCAAAGCGGGGATTACTGCTAGCGGCGCTTGCATTTCTGTTGGCTTTTATTATTTTTTTTTTTGTGATGGTGGTATTTGCTTATAAAGGCATTTTCAAATTTCAAAAAGAAACAGCATGTCCTTTCCCCCCCCTCTTTGGAGAGCTTTTGTTGGTGTCATCGCTCACCCGCAAGCTACGAGCGAGGCGTGCACCAGTGCAGTGAGCTAATGACTGCGTGTGTTTGAACGCATCAGGGGAGAGAAGCGGGCAGGCATAAGGGGCGAGAGAGGGCAAATGCCTGGCTGGATCCGAGGCGGGATGCCGGGGGATTACAGCCACCCGGGGATGCCCGTGGCCCTCATCGCCATATTGACGGGACATGCGGGTAGCATGAGGAGGCAGAGGAGAGGAGAGCGTTTGATCAAGGTCGCTCAGAGGAGGGCTGTGAGGCCGCGGTAATGGGGCTCAACAAGTTGCAACTGCTCGGAGGTTCCAGTGAAGGAGGGGGTGCTGGTGAGGAACATGTCCTGGGTAATGAATACTGCTGATGCCTGTGGTTACAGGGGAGAGGTGGAGATTCGAATTCCTTGGTGGTGTATAGACCTTAGCCTGAAGCTTTTGGATAGGATGGGTGTAGCTGTACTATTTCTGAGCTCTCTGTTTGTCTTTTGGGAAGTGAGGTGCTTCCTGCAGTAACAAACAATCCATACATTAGATCATGGGCTGGCTCACTGGAGGGAATGGGTCAGGCCATGTGATGCCTACGTGGTGGATGAATAGCAGGCAACAGCCAGGAGTATGAAAGAGGGTAGAACAACTAACCTCCTTATAGCTTATATATATACCATGTAGGTAAGGGGTACTATGACCCCTGCTGCACCCAGAAGAAAAAAGGCTATGACCACTGCAAGCCATGAAAAGGCAAAGCCCTAGGGGGAATGATGCTCTTATGTTGAGTCACTGTGTTGAAGATCTGGAGAGCTGGGTTTCGTCCTCAGCTCTGCTGTGCCTGCTGACTAGGGATGACCTGGCCTGGTGTCCTGAAAGTGCTCAGATAGCTTGATGTCCTTTTACAGGCATCCAGGGGCTTTGAAAGAGCTGTGATTCTGTGCCAAATCGCCTTGAGACAAAAATGAGGGGAGTGGGCTTTACCCTTGGGAATCATCTGCCTGCCCCCTGCGAGAAAAGGCCTTTGCCCCCTTTGTTTCCATCACTAACCTTATCAGAGAGGGAGCCTGAGACATTTAATGATGTGGGTGGGGGAAAGCAAGCCTGAGAGTAATTTCCCCAGTTGCTGTTTACTGGGGCCTAACTGGTAGCTGCGTGACGGTTGTGCAGGCCAGAAGAGCTGGCTTGGCTTGCAAGATAGGTAAAGGTTGCATGAGCACTAGGCAGAAGGCTGTTTATTGTACAAGGTTTTGGTCTATCTTGGGAGCCACTGCTCCTAGAGCTCAGCTGGGAGAAGAGAGACTCAAAGAGCTGTGACAGCAGACCCCTCTGCCAGCCATAGGACAATAACTGGGGAGCCTTGGAAAATGGACTGTCAATATTTCTGGCAAAGCCTTGCAGTCCCTCCTGAGAAAGAAACACGATCTCTCCAAGTTGTGCCAACTCCTGAGTCACCTGCTCCCCCACGCCTCCCTAGCAGAGAGCCAGCTTAAATGCCAGAAGCTTTAAAAACATAGGGAATGTCAGATGCTTTTCACTGACACTCGGATTTCTTGCTCTGTGGTACTTAAGAAGTTGGACCTTTATGCTTCCTCTATAGCTCTGAGGGCTCAGTGGGGTTTCATTTTGATAAACAGAGATTCACATATGCTCAAATTCCAGGGGCTGCGCTTCATTTAAAATACCAAGTATTGCTCCAGCTTCAAGAAAAACAAAACAGTGAGGCTGGCACCAAATGCTGCCACCTCTGTGAGACAGGCTGCTGTGCCAGGTGCCCTGGGGCAGGGCTGGGAAGCTCTAGCCTGCAAAAGGCAGGCCTGTTGCTGAAGAGTGCATGTTTTAACTATTAGGAGTGACTGCCAGTACAGCTCATGGGCAGATCAGAGACTCCGTTTATGGGAACTTGTCAGCTGGCAGGGGAAGAGTTAGACCCTTGTTTCATGACATGCCAGAGATCAGCAAAAGCTTTTCGTAAAGCAGATCAACCCAAAATAACAGCCACTGGTGTTATTCATTGCTAATGAGCTGAGAATAGCTGATGAAGGTCAGGAGGATAAAAGGGAGGTCCTGACAGGCCTGCACTCTTCTGGTTACAGAGCTTTTTCCTGCTATACAGTTGCATCTCCCTTTCCAGGGTCTCTGGTACCCACCCTTGCTGGATTAAAGTCCATTCCTTGCTGTTGGTGCACTTGCATGTGCCGTCTATGAGCTGCAGCTGCTGTTCATGCTGAAGAGAAACTCAAGTCATGTAGAAAGCATGATTAAACAAACTAACAAAATAATTGTTTTCTCTCCCCTTTCCACAGAAAATCACAGTACCCCTTGTCTATGCAGTTACCATTGCTGCCATTGGATCTCTCCAGTTTGGGTACAACACTGGTGTCATCAATGCTCCTGAGAAGGTGAGAGGGGAGATGTAGAAAGGACTGAAGTTGCCTCCTAAGCAGCTAATAATTTGGTTTATGAAGTCAGGAAGACGTTCAAAGCCTTCTCAACTACAACAACGAACAGGAAGGGAAAAGTCTGGCGGAGGAGAGAGAGCAAGCAGAGACATTTATCCTTTTAAATAGGAGTACAGAGGGGGCAGGAGGGCTCCGTTTGCCATTTCCTGCTATGGCTGTATTAGGTGTGTGGAGGAATATGAGCTGCTTCAGTTTTAAGTTGGAACAAAGCAGCCATGGCAGAAAGAACTGTAAAGAGAGCATGCAGGAAACAGTTGAGGGCTAGTAGGGATTACAGTTCTAGTTTAGTTTATCTCAGGGACCATCTCAGGCTCCTTTCTTTTGTTTATTCATTCCTTGTGTTAAGTGTAGATTCAGTGCTTGTAGAAGGGTTGTGACTTGCACACACTGACCAAATCATCTCATGACTTCAGTCTAAGAAAGAAGAGATGAAGAAAATGAGAGATGTGGTTTTCTTGTGACTGTAAGATGGTTCCTCTCTCTCAGGAACTGAGTCACCAGTACCACATCCACCCTGTCTCCGGGAATAGATGTCACATCACCGGGGGGGTGGCTGGGGGGGGTCCTCCCTAACTAATGTCCTGCTGCCATCTGCTGGGGACAGGCACTCTGGGGCCATGCTACCCTCAGCCCTTACAGAATTGATCTCATTATCAAAAAGGATGCATTGAAAATCAGCAGCATGGCCCTGTCACATCCCTGTGGAACAATGGAGGATTGTTTTACATAAGGCTCCAGTTTTTCAGGCTTACCTCAGTGAAACATTCTTAAACTGTTTCCATACCAGAAAGCCTGTCTGCTGCCAGAAATGTTCCCTTGTAATCTCTGGTCATGTTTTCATGCTCCTCCTCATTCCCAACTGTCTTGCATCCCCTCCCAAACACCACCAGTGACTCATGTAATCCAGAAACGTTCAGCAGATCAGCCTGTTTTCCTTAATAAACACTGCCCCCTCCCCAAATCAGTGTTCCCCATCAGACTGCTACCTGTCTACTGAGCTTCTGAATGAAAGTTCTTTCTGCTTCTTGATCTTCCCCTTGTATGACTTGTTGCTGCCTATTGAAGTTTTAGGGTCCGTCCTTGCTGCTTGCTTCCATGCAAACAGAAGGAAGACCTCAGCAGTAATCTCTCCACCTCCCCCCACATCCCCAGTGCAAAATGCCTCCCACTGGATTACAACTCTATCCTCACCTGGTTTCTGTTGCAGATCATCCGGGGCTTCTTCAATGGAACCCTGTCAGAACGGAGTGGGAAGCCTCCCTCCTCAGAGCTCCTCACCTCTCTCTGGTCCCTTTCTGTGGCCATCTTCTCAGTAGGAGGTATGATCGGCTCCTTCTCAGTCAGCCTGTTTGTCAACAGATTTGGCAGGTAAGTTGGGGCCAAGGATCCAAGCCGTTAGGGAATCTTTCCCTTCTACAGTGAAGTGGTGGGAGGGAGAGGGCAGAGCTTAGAGAAAAGGAAGAAAAAAGAACGTGTGGGCTGCAAAAAGAAAGGGTTGCAGGCCAAGAGAGTTGCTGAATGGGAATTACTCTGTTCTCCTTCTACCCCTGAGATAAGGAACAGAGTCATGGGTAGGTTTACCCACCTCCCAGTGATTTTGTTTCCCTACTATATTACCAGTTTAAGCTCAGTCTTGACATCTTTACCCTGCAGGAGGAACTCCATGTTATTGGTGAACATCTTGGCCTTTGTTGGTGGTACTTTCATGGCCTTCTCCAAGATGGCAAAGGCAGTGGAGATGCTGATTATTGGCCGCTTTGTTATTGGTGTCTTCTGTGGTCTCTGCACTGGCTTTGTGCCCATGTACATCAGTGAGGTCTCGCCCACCAGCCTCCGCGGAGCCTTTGGCACCCTCAACCAGCTGGGCATTGTTGTGGGCATCCTGGTGGCCCAGGTAGGCTTGACATAACCTGTTCTGCTGCCCTCAGGGGAGAGGAGGAGGGGAGGTGGGCTGTGCTTGCCATCAGGTGTGATGTGTGGTCCTGTCATCCTTACTGGTGTGGGGGTGAGGAGCTGCATTTCACTATTGCACTGCAATCACTATTTCTCTCCAATTCTTGGTGCAGATCTTTGGCCTGGAGGAAATCATGGGGACAGAACCACTTTGGCCACTGCTTTTGGGGTTCACGGTCCTCCCAGCGCTTCTGCAGTGTGTGGCTCTTCTTTTCTGCCCTGAGAGTCCCCGCTTCCTATTGATCAACAAGATGGAGGAAGAGAAAGCTCAAGCAGGTAAGAACTCAACTCTGAAGGGGCAGGGCTGTATTCTGGCTCCCAGCCTGCACTGAACTTGGGTGGGAGGCGAGGACTGGCTCTGGAGCCCGTGATGGATCAGGGTGTGACTCTTGGAGGGCACCAGGCCTGGCCTACCCTCCCATCCTTTGGGTTGCACCAGTGCCAGAAAGTGTGGGAAACCTGGCATCTTAACAGACACTTCAGGTGGGACTAAGACGTGAGGAGTGGCACCTGGCCTGGTGGGATGTAGCAGGGCCTTCTTCAGCTCTCTCAGATCCTTCTCAAAGGCTGGTACTTAACAAGGAATTTGGAGGGTGTTTCCTACCACAGAGGGCTGGAGTCAGTTCTGGCAAGTGTGTGAACAGAACTGGGGATCAAATGTAAGCCTGGAGATCAAGCAACATGAGCAGGGCTTGATTTCCATGCTGATCACAGCATCCTGGCCTCTGTCTGGGTTGAAAAGGTGAGTAAAGCTGCAGGTAGAGCTTCAGTCTTTCCCACATAGCAGGCCCAAACACTGACTAGCAGGTGGTCCAGTATTCCCAGTGTGCCCTCTGAAATAGCAGGATGGGGACCTACTGCCTGCAGGTGTGTTGTACATGGTTTTTGATCCCTCCCTCCAGTTCTTCAGAAGCTCCGTGGTACACAAGATGTGTCTCAAGACATCCGGGAGATGAAAGAAGAGAGTACCAAAATGTCCCAGGAAAAGAAAGCAACTGTGCCAGAGCTCTTCCGTTCTCCAAGCTACCGTCAAGCCATTATCATTGCCATCATGCTGCAGCTCTCCCAACAGCTCTCAGGCATCAATGCTGTGAGTTATTTTCCCGTCCGTCTGCTGGGCCTCTCTTATCTCTGGCTTCCCTTGCACTTGCTGCTAGTGTTGATCTGTTCTTCCAGAAACCTCTTTGTGCCTTGTCTGGAGGTCCCAGTTTTGTGATATTGCAGAGATTGCTAAGGTGGAGATTATATTTGCTTTCACTTTTGCCTCACACCCCCTGTCAAGACATTGCAGCCTTTCACCAAATGAATAGACTTTGACTGGAAACATCCTGTTTCATACTGTGGAGTGCTTAAGAACTCTCTGTCGGGCCTGCAAGCTGCTGGGCAGCGAATGAGGGATATGCACCCAAAACATGGAATAGTGACACTGTCCAATTTTTGCTTCTCTTCCCAGGTATTCTATTATTCTACAGGGATTTTTGAAAGAGCTGGTATCACACAGCCTGTGTATGCCACTATTGGAGCTGGCGTCGTAAACACAGTCTTCACTGTTGTGTCGGTAAGTGGAACAAGGCCTTATGGCAAGAGGTAACTTGTCTGCCTGGGCGTTTTTGGGAGATGTGTCTGAAGACAAATAGCCAGGCTGTGGCCTATAAGACCAAAGAAAAGAATGTGTTAAAAGCATTGTGAGGGTGGGGAGAAAGAAGTATTGTTACCCTTCTAGAAGAAAGAGAGAGTGAAAAGGAGTGCATGGGGATGAGAGAAAGCAAGAACCAGGGAGGAAATACTTTGTGACAAAGATGGAGCAGCCTGGTGACCTGCACTGAGGGCTGCAGGCAGATGAAGGGAAGAGGAGTAGGGCATGCTAGCAAAGGAGCCTCCTCTGCTCTTTCTGCCAATGTTATGGGTTTGTGTTTGTTTCTTTGTATTTCCTCCTGCCATTTCCAGCTGTTCCTGGTGGAGCGTGCAGGGCGCAGGACTCTTCATTTGATTGGCTTGGGTGGCATGGCTGTGTGTGCTGCTGTTATGACCATCGCTTTAGCTCTGAAGGTGAGTAATCGGTGCTCTTGTTCAGGTTGACCTCAGCTGGGGACCTATGAGATTACACATCTGCTTTGGGCTGTAATTCTGCCCTGTGGGCAGGTACACTTGAGGTTAGAGCTGAGTTTGCGGTGGAGAGTGCAACTTCCTAACTGTGCTTACACTGCAGCTGAGAAAGTTGTGACACTAGAGATGGCATTGTGCTGTGCCATGTTTGTCTGGAATTGCAGCTGATCACTTTTTATTCCCTTACAGGACGCTGTGGGATGGATCAGATACATCAGCATCATTGCCACTTTTGGCTTTGTGGCTCTTTTTGAGATTGGCCCTGGCCCTATCCCATGGTTCATTGTGGCAGAACTCTTCAGCCAAGGCCCACGGCCTGCAGCCATGGCAGTGGCCGGTTGTTCCAACTGGACTTCCAATTTCTTGGTGGGAATGCTTTTTCCCTATGCAGAGGTAAGGACCCAGTTTGTGAAACACAGTGCTGCAGCATTGAAATAGCTGTCCAGAGAGGTGGTGCAATCTCCATCCTTGGAGACTTAAAAAGATGATTACATGACCCCTAATCTGATTTCTCCTTGATGTTGTCCCTACTTTGAGCAGAAAATTGGTCAGTGTTCCTGAGGTCCCTGATTCTGTGTTCTAATTGTTACCGAAGGTTGAGTGGGATGGCTCATCTTATATTCTACCGTCTTAACTGCTTATGGCATCCAAATAGTTGCAAGAGCCTTCTTAAACATCGCATCAGGGCTTTCCCTTTAAAAGACTAAATTTTGATCACCCCCAGGCACATTAAAGCATTTCAGAAGTCCACAAGAACTTGATTTCATTTTGAAAAATGCTGTGTTGACCAAAAAGCTAGTGAGGCCATTGATGAAAGGTGCTGTAATTTTGACCTGTTAAGAGCAAATGTATTTGGGTTTATGAGTTTTTCAAATTAAAACCTCCCGCTTTTGTCCTCCCTGCAGAAACTGTGTGGCCCCTATGTCTTCCTCATCTTCCTTGTTTTCCTGGTCATCTTCTTTATCTTCACATTCTTCAAAGTGCCGGAGACCAAGGGTAGGACTTTTGAGGATATCTCCAGGGGCTTTGAAGGACGAGCAGAAGCCAGCCCCACATCACCTGTAGAGAAGAACCCCATGGTGGAGCTGAACAGCATACAACCTAACAAACAAGTCGCCTGAGATTCATGACACACCCCTTTGACTCTTGTATGCTTTAAAGAGTCACAAAAGGAATTGGCAAAGAGAACCATGAGAACTGGGACATTAACCTCCCCCCCTTCAGTTGCTGCTATTTTCTTCTTTGTGCCCATATACCCACCTATTTCACCAGGCTTACAAGTATTAAGCAAAGCTGATGGTGGTGGTCCCATTTTCAAGTACTGGAAGGCACCTGGCACTTGGAAAAATAATTTCATCTTCCCTGTCACAAACATTGGGGGAGCAGAGAAGAGCTGGTGATATTATTTTTTTTCTTTTCTCACCTTTAATTGCTATTTGGGGTTAATACTTAAGCACGCAGTGACCATTATATATTTGAATCTAGTTCCTATTTTTTTAGTGAGTTGAAGTGAGCCACTAAGCAGGTCCCTGGCCCTTTGAGTCTATTCTCTGTGTGTGTGTGCGTGTGTGTGTGTGTGCAGTGTTACACTGGAACTTAACAAGCCTACCAAAAAGCCATCTACTTGCTTTTTCCTATCCAGTGTGCACTTTTTTTCAGCCTCAGGAAAAAGGGGACCAAGTTACATGCATATTTTTCCTGCTTTTTTTTTTTGTTGTTGTATAGACAGACTGAAAGCATACTTAAGTTTATTTATTTGTATGTCACTTTGTAAATATTTTATTTTTTTAATGGTGTACAAAAGTGTACAGATACTGAAATTGAAGATGTTGAAGAGAAATAGCTAATCTAACAAGATGCTATAGACTTGAGGTGCAGTAAGACTGAAGGAGAAATGTGGTACTAAACAGGAAATTGGGCATTTTGGATGGTATGTACAACAGCCAGTTCTGCACGTAACGCTAACATGGTATTTGTGCCCTCTGGGAGGAAATGCAAGAGGTTGCGTACTAGCAGGAAGAGGTATGTTTGTTCACTGAAATCCCTCTTAATTGGGATTTTTTTTGGGGTGGCAATTTTAAATACCGTTTCCAAGTCTTGACTGGAAAGTGGTATTGCAGCAAATGAATTTTATTAGTTTAGTTTATATTTTAAGTCGTGGTTAAGCATTTTATGGGTTGGTTGATAGTGCTGATTGCAAATCTGAAAGTAACTTTTCCTCAGTTCTCTTAATTTTTATTTTCTTTTTGCTTCTCTGCTGTATTCTAGTAGGTCAGAAGGTCTGAAAATTGCAAATTTTTACTTAAAAGAGGCTGAGGATAAAAATTACTTTTTAAAGCTATATTTTCTTAGCAGTTGTTCATCGAAGTATTAAACAGAGGTATAGGTAGCATTGACCCTTCTGGACACAGGCATGGTCAGTTATAGCATGTGTAAGCTCATAAAGGTAGAGATGCAGGACTGGAGAACAAAGCTACTGGAATTTGCTAGCTCAGCAGTGTGGAAGGTCTGTAGTGTTAAGTGTACTGGTTGATTGCAGGCTAAGTGGTTTTGCCCCATCTATCCTCTCTGGAAGACCTGCATGATGTTGTGGTGCCCACCAGTGTGCAGTGTGCTGTGTAGATGTGTACTGTTCTGTAAAAGTGCCTCTGTTTTAAAAAGGGATATGGCAGATGGTAACTGTACATTAGTAAATACTGGTCTCTCTGCTTGTTCTACTGGTAGGCAATTACGTATTCACCTAACCTTGCTGCCAGGCTAGCACAGTTCAGTTCAGGCAAGCAGGAAGTGGTACCTACGGTATCCTTGCAGTCAAGGGGTGGGAGCTTTGCCTTTCTAACTGCAGTGTTCTGTCAAGAGAGACTCCAGGTCCATGTCTGTCCAGACCTGCACAAACTGGCTAAAGGTAGCACAGAGGTGGGTCCAATTTAAACTCTGGATCCAGGATCATCTGCTTTCTCAGACTTGATCAAACTCAGGTCTACCTGCAACCTCATGTCCTGTAGGCCCACGGATTCCGAAGTAGGTAAAGGAAGAAAGGCCCAGAAGGGCAGGAACAGCAAAACTGTAGTTGTGTGGCTAAACCAAGCTTTCTTGAAAACATATTGCTTTAGAGCAGGTCAGAGAGGTAAATACATTGATGTGTATTTTGGGGGTGTGTATCTGGCATTTTATCAGTAACTATAGTGATGATGTTTCTACCCTTAATGAGAAAGGGTTGCAAAGATTAGTATATTTGCTGCTGTAAAATATTTCCTGTGATTTCATTTGAAACACTTCAGCTTTGCAAAATGCAGCCCTGTTACATCCTGTTTCTCCTAGCTTTCTATCAGGCTTCCGTGCCAGATACTCAATCTTGGAAGTATTATATATGACATCTTTCCCAACTTTCATAGCTCCTCATATGGACTTATATGCCCTTCCTGTGACCCTCCAGCACTTCCAGACATAAGATTTCTATACGGGCATCTATATGTTAGGAAACTCCCCCTACAGCTGTGCATAAGAGCATTCCATACTTTGCATCAGAGATGTATGTTGGCTTGGACTGAAAAGCTTAGGTCTTTCTCACATGATATCTCTTTGTTATTTTCTTTTTCTGTAACAGCATTGTGAATATTTCTGATGGGTTTTATATGCTTATTAATGTGTTTGTTTCCTGTTTTTAAAATAAAAACTATATAATTAATTATTTGGTTTGGATTTTACCTTTACCCTGTAGTTCTTCTCAGTTTCCTTCTCCTTTATCACAGTGTCAGTATGTCCTGGAATGCCCCCAACTTGTCCATGCATGTCACAGAATCCCAAGGGTTGGAAGGGACCTCAGAAGATCATCTAGTCCAACCCCCCTGCAAGAGCAGGATAACCTAGAGTACATCACACAGGAACTTGTCCAGGTGGGCCTTGAATATCTCCAGCGTAGGAGAGAGACTCCACAACCCCCCAGGGCAACCTGTTCCAGTGCTCTGTCATTCTCACAGTAAAAAAGTTTTTCCTGATGTTCACATGGAACCTCCTATGCTCCAGTTTACACCCATTGCCCCTTGTCCTATCACTGAAAAAAGCCTAGCTCCATCATCCTGACACTCACCCTTTACATATTTGTAAACACTGATGAGGTCACCCCTCAGTCTACTCCAAGCTGAAGAGACCCAGCTCCTTCAGCCTCTCCTCATAAGGGAGGTGTTCCATCCCTTAATCATCTTTGTGGCTCTGCGCTGGACTCTTTCAAGCAGTTCCCTGCCCTTCTTGAACTGAGGGGCCTAGAACTGGATGCAGTAATCCACACCCTTTCTAATGCACCCTAGGATGCCATTTGCCTTCTTGGCCACAAGGGCACATTGCTGGCTCATGGTCATCCTCCTATCCACCAGGACCCCCAGGTCCCTTTCCCCTTCACTACTTTCCAGCAGGTCAGCCCCCAACCTGTACTGGTACATGGGGTTGTTCTTCCCCAGATGCAGGACTCTACACTTGCCCTTGTTGAATTTAATCAAATTTCCCCCTGCCCAACTCTCCAGCCTGTCCAGGTCTCGCTGAATGGCAGCACAGCCTTCTGGTGTGTCAGACACTCCTCCCAGTTTAGTGTCATCAGCAGACTTGCTGAGAGTACACTCAGTTCCCTCATCCAGGTTGTTGATGAAAACATTAAACAGCACTGGTCCCAGGACCAACCCCTGAGGGACTCCACTTATCACAGACCTCCAGCTCGATTCTGCCCCGTTGACTACAACTCTGCATTCTTCCCTTCAACCAGCTCTTGATCCACCTCACTACCTGATCATCAAGCCCACACTTCCTTAGCTTATCTATGAGAATGCTGTGGGAGACAGTATCAAATGTCCTACTGAAATCAAGAAAACCCACATCCACTGCTCTACCATCATCCATCCACCTAGTTACTTCCTCATAGAAGCCTATAAGGTTGGTCAAATATGACTTCCCCTTGGTAAAACCATGTTGGCTGCTCTTAATGACCCCCTCATCCTTGATATGTCCAGAGATGGTGTCAGTAATAAGTTGTTCCATCACCTTTCCAGGGATGGAGGTAAGGCTGACCCATCTATAACTACCTGGGTCCTCCTTCTTGCCCTTCTTATAGACTGGTGTGACATTTGCCATCCTCCAATCCTCAGGCACCTCTCCTGTTTCCCACAACTTACCAAAGATGATGGAGAGTGGCCTAGCAATGACCTCCGCCAGCTCCCTCAGCACCCATGGGTGCGTTCCACCTGGACCCATCGATTTATAGATGTCCAGACTGCTTAACTGATCCCTAACCCAATCCTCATCTACCAAAGCAAACTCCTCCTTTGTCCTGACTCCTTCTGGGGTTACAGGGATCTTGGGCCTCCAGGGAGAGTCTGCAGGAGTAAAGACAGAGGCAAAGAAGGCATTCAGCACCTTTGCCTTCTTTAAATCCTCTGTCTCCAGGGCACCCACCTCGTTCAGCAGTGGGCCTGTATTCCTCTTGTGTTAGTTTTATTTGCTATGTATTTGAAGAAGCCCTTTCTATTGTCCTTAACCCAACTAGCAAGATTGAGTTCCAAGGAGGCCTTAGCTGTCCTAATTGCCTCCCTACATCCTCTAACAACTGTCCTATATTCCTCCCAAGTGGTCAGCCCCTCCTTCCATAATCCATAGATTCTCTTTTTTCACATGAGTTTGCCCAGCAATTCCTTGTTTAACCACGCTGGTCTCCTAGCTCCCTTACTTGATTTCCTACCCATTGGGACACTCTGATCCTGAGCTTGGAAGAAGTGGTCCTTGAATGCCGACCAACTATCTCGAGCCCCTTTACTACCTAATAACCTTTCCCATGAAACTTCCCTTAGCAATTGATTGAAGAGGCCAAAGTTGGCCCTTCGGAAATCCAGAATTGTGGCCTTGCGAGGTGTTCTATTCCTCCCACACAGGATCCTAAACTCCACCATCTCATGGTCACTACAGCCAAGGCTGCCACTGACCATCACACTTCAACCAGACCCTCCTTGTTGGTGAGTACTAGATCCAGCAACGCTCCTCTCCTAGTTGGTTTGTCCACCATTTGCATTAAGAAGTTATCATCAATGCACTGGAGGAACCTCCTAGACTGTGAATGATTGGCTGTGTGAGTCTTCCAGCAAATATTGGGGTAGTTAAAATCCCCCATGAGGACCAAGGCACGTAGTTGTGAGGCTGCTTTCAGCTGCCTGTAGAAGGCCTCATCAACTCCTTCGTCCTGATCAGGAGGTCTATAATAGACCCCCACAACTGTGTCACCGGTACCAGCCAGTCCCTTAATTCATACCCACAGGCTTTCCACTTGATCCTCATCTGCCCCTGGACAGAACTCAATACATTCGAGTCGCTCTCTCACATAAAGAGCAACTCCATCACCTCGCTTTGCTGACCTATCTTTCCTAAAAAGGACATAGCCATCCATGACCACATTCCAGTCATGTGAGCTGTCCCATCATGTCTCTGTAACTGCCACCAGATCATAACCTTTAGACCGCACACAGACTTCTAACTCCTCCTGTTTATGCCTGCTGCGTGCATTGGTGTACAAGCATTTCAGGGAGCGAGCAGAGCACACTAGTGGCACCCTTGAGAGGCGGGAGGCCTTCTGTTCTTCATTAATACTAGAACAATGCCC